GCAACCGAAGCATACAAGTATAATGAAAGAGCAGGGAAATAAAAAAGTTGGGATCCTCGACTAATACTAATATTTTTTAATGAGAATTGTGAAGAATTGGGAGGGGGGTCCACAAGGATGGTTAGGAAAATGAAAGGTCATGATGAAAATGAAAGACTAGGATCTCTTTATTAGGAGACATTAGGAGCTTTTTATTAGTAGAGGATCTCAATCCAAAGTAAAAGTTTCCAAATAATGAAACGTGATCGATGCTCGTAACTCGTTTTGTAATGTCTTGTGACTGTAGATTTAGAAAGAGAAAAAGAAAAGGAAGGATAAAACAGCTCATTGCGTCTTGGGTCCAATAAATATTTTCCTCCTTCCCATTTTTACCCCTCTCATTGAAATTTTTCTGATTTCTCCCCTTTCTCTCCCTCCTCTCTCTCTTCAAAGGTTGAAAGGAGAGAGAAAGAAACAAAGGGAAAGGGAGGAAAAAGAGCTCCTCTTCTCTCATACAAGCGAAATGAGATAAAAAAGGCTGCAATTTTCTAAACTCTAAAACCCCTATTCCTCAAAAATCCCCAAAGTTCTTCCCAAAATACTCCCCAAGATTTCGAGAATTTGTATCCCCGTTCTGATCGCCAAGTTTGCTCCTTCGGTTGGGGGGATTTGAGAGAGGATAATGTCCTCAGCTCCAACCGGGCTTCCATTGAGGGAGGCATCGCATCAGGAGTCGGATAATTTGAGGTTTTCTAATCTAAGAGGGGTTCGATGGAGAGTTGATCTAGGGATTCTTCCGTCGTCTCCGCCCGCTTCGATCGAGGAGCTTCGTCGTGTTGCTGCTGATTGCAGGAGGAGGTTAGGTTTTATGGGTTTTTTTTTAATCCTGCTTGAATTGTGATTATAACTCATCCTATCTAGGTTTTTGTAGATTCAATATGTTATTTGGTATTTTTCACTTGGCCATGTTGTCTCGATTTTTGCTTTGTTTGAATGCAATATAGATATCCAAAAATATTTAACTTTTTTTTATTAGTTTTGATAAGTTGGAACTATTAGATAAAATTTATAGTTGTTCTCATCTTTTTTTGAACTGATAGTTGTTCTCATCTTGTATGAAGCGAAATAAGGATGAGGGATTTAGCCAAGTTCTTTTCTTTGTAAATTTCTGTTTGATTTATCATAGTGAAGTTTTGCGGATCTTTCTGTAGGTCTGTTGTTATACTTAATATTGACTTTAAACTAGAGGGAATAGTTTGATTATCTTGTTAGATGCCGTGCTTCTTTGGTTTTCAATCTTTGAAGAAATTGGGATTTGTAAATAATCACTTTTAATATTCCTCCTTTTTTCTGGGAGATAGCTTATTGCTGTAAGTTATGCAGGGTATTCATCTCCTATATAGATTTCGAGTGGGAGGTAACTTGTATGACATTGATGAATGAGTTTGTTTCCTGCTAATGTTCATATTTTTTTGCTATCGTCTCTTTTCATTTGATGCCTATATTTTTGGTAGGAGATGGAATAAATATTTGGTTTACATCTTTTCGTTTGCTATATGCTGTTTCTGCTGTACAATGTGTAATTGTTTTGCAGTTTCCATTAATTTTTTGAATTTACTTCAAACCAAATTCTTGTTGATTGCCAAATACAAGACACTTCGAGTAGTTCCGCTTCACCCATTTAACTCTTATGAATGATTCAGTTATGTTTATCTTGCATATGTTTTGACTAGAAATATGTCTGATTCTTCTATTTAAAGGTATGCAAGTCTGAGGCGGCATCTACTCATTGACCTTCATCTCCCAAAAGATGGCAACAGATCTCCTGATCTTACTATGGACAACCCTTTATCTCAAAATCCAGGCATGCTACTTGTTGACTTTTTATCTCGTTAAATTTAAATGGATCGTATGTAAGATGTCTTCCTTTTCTCCTTCCATTTTACTTTTCTGTAGATTCTTCTCCCATTTTTGTTTTAGCTATTTTCAATTATGACCTTGCAACTATTTGGTCATAAATTAATTCACCCTCCACGAGTCCAAAGAACACTTCAGATCCTATTACTGTTCAGAAAAGGGTGTTTTATTATTCAATTGCCAAGTTAACATGTTAATGTTGTTCTATGTAAACTTTCAGATAGCACATGGGGTCGATTCTTCCGAAATGCAGAGTTGGAGAAATTGGTTGACAATGATTTGTCACGGTTGTATCCAGAGCATGAGAACTATTTTCAGTCACCGGCATGCCAGGCCATGTTAAGAAGAATATTGTTGGTATGGTGCCTTAGACACCCAGAATATGGATATAGACAAGGTATGCTATTAAGACCTGTTAAATGGTTATTATGCAGCAGATTTTTATGTTTCATTTTGTAAATATTGTATTGTAATTGTAGAAGTTTTCAATGCTTTGTCCATACCATGCCTATCATCTTACCCGACAATACGGGGCAATAGATAGTGTAACTCCGCTGAAAAATAAGGGGACCAAATTTTACTACTGTTTATATCATATTGTTTATGATTTTTTTCTTGACAAGGGATAACCATCATTATAGAGTAGCTTTTGCCGTAATAGCATGGCTAAGAAGCCTGAGAGCCTCCATCATCTTGTAACTTATCATCAGTACCATCCTTATCCCAAGAAAATGGGGTAATAGATGGAGCACAGCTCTTCTGAATGTTTGCTCAACTAAAGGGATGGCCAAATTTTAATGATTGGTTCCCAATATTGATTGTAGCAAGTAGGAGATAAGTTTGCACAATCAAGGAGCACTCATTATACTGCAGAGAAGAGTCTAGACAGAGAGTTCAAATTATCTCCCTAGACACCATGCTAACCCTAGGTTCAGAGGGATACATGCTATCATATTTGTGATTCTATACCGTTCAAAAACATATTTTGCACCATTCATTTCATAGAGCATAATGGACTTTGATCAAAGACCTAGCTAAGATATTTAGGCTGTTAGTTGAACATGAGGAAGGGATAATCAAATGGAGAAAGAAACTTGTAAAGAACACCTGGAAGAATTTTGATAGAAGATCTAAAGCATCAATATTTCTTTATGGATTCCATGCCGTGTTTCACACATGTCGGACAGACGCGCTACATGTGCATGCTATGGATACCATGTTCGACACACCTACTGGTGCCATAAACCAAAATTTCAATATTTTGGGTTCAAAGTTTTGAAGTGGACACTGTTTGGTCTTTTAGGTTTAATTGGTTTAGGTTGTAACCCAGTTACTGAACAATTGCTAAATATCACTTCCTACATATGTTACATTGTAACAAAGTTCTGTGTGTTTATATCCATATTCATATCCATACCTGTCCACGTCTTTATGCAACATAGGGTAAAATGATTTCTTCTTGTCTTTGTATTTAGTTTACACAATCATATGTTTGTAGAATGTCACTATACTCTTTTGTCCATGCCTTAGAACTTTTCTTTAGTATTTCTTTTATGTTAAGCATAAAAATTTGTCCTGATATATCACTATCTGAAATAGGAATGCATGAACTATTGGCTCCTCTACTCTATGTGCTCCATGTTGATCTCAAATACCTGTCTCAAGTCCGAGCACTTTATGAAGACTGCTTCAATGATGAATTTGACGAGATGAACTTTCCCGAGGGTGACCTCGTCTCCAACTACCGATTCACGAAGTCGTCTAGCTGGGATTCTAGGAGTGACAGTGATAACTTTCCAGAAGACTACCCCAAAGTCACCAGCCTTGATGATCTTGATCCAGAAACCAAGGAATTGTTCTTGCTAAGTGATGTCTATGGAGCTGAAGGCGAGTTAGGTGTGATCCTTTCAGAGCGATTCATGGAGCATGATGCATATTGTATGTTTGATGGTCTGATGAGTGGGGCTCGTGGAGTGGTTGCAATGGCCGACTTCTTCACCCCTACTCCTATGGTTGGATCTAGCACAGGCTTACCTCCTGTGATTGAAGCCTCAGCAGCTTTGTACCATCTGCTATCTATTGTAGACTCTTCTCTCCATAGCCACCTCGTTGAGCTTGGTGTTGAACCCCAGTATTTTGCACTTAGGTGGCTTCGTGTCCTCTTTGGCCGGGAGTTCTCTCTTGATGACCTCTTGCTAATATGGGACACACTTTTTTCTTCTTCAAATATTTCTTCTGTAGAGAATGAACATGAGTGCAATTTCAAAATCTTGTGCTCTCCTCGTGGAGCCTTCATTTCGGCCGTGGCTGTTTCAATGCTTCTTCACTTGAGATCTTCTTTATTAGCAACAGAGATAGCCACCTCTTGCCTCCAGAGATTGCTCAACTTTCCAAAGAAAGTAGATGTTAAAAAACTGATAGAAAAGGCAAAGGCTTGGCAGTCTCTTGCTCTTGAGGCAAACGTCATGTCTCCACCAGAGAATAGTTCAAAGCGAGAGGTTAGCAGAGCCAGGAGCATTCCAACTGATGCATGTTCGCCTAAAACTCCAAACCAGTCGTTACCTGATAGTTATTGGGAGGAGAAGTGGAGAGTGCTTCATGAGGAAATATCATCTCCAAAGAATGGTAGTCATCCAGTGTCACATGGAAAGATAAAGAAACTATTAGGAGATAGGTTTGGCTTAGCGAGGACTGGGTCATATCCCTCAGCAACTAAAAGGGATTCTCGGTCTTCTACTGTTAGGCGTAGACTTCTTGATGATTTTACTGATGCAAATAATAACCCGAAACCTAATGGAGTTCCAGAACTTGCTAAGGAAAATGAGCCTCGCCCTCTAGACGTGGACAGAGAGAAGTCTCTACCTGATGAACCCACTGATCAATCTGTTGCAGGGAGGTTGTCTGATTGTACGACAGAAGAAACATGCTTGAGCGGAGAGAACTCTTCTGTGTTCTCTACAGCTAATAGTCCTCATATTATGGAAAATGACCCTGATAATGATTCGGAGAAGAGTAGTCTTACTTCAAATTCTTCTGTCGCAGACAATGATGAAGACACCAATCAAGTGGAAGATAATCAAGATGTGGAATCTACCTGTTCTACTAATGCTACTGCTGCTTGCACAAGTGAAATTGTACCTGTTAAAGATGGAGAAGTGAAACAGGGTGCAGGATTAAAGGATAGGAAGCCACTATCTGGTAAGTTACAGTGGTTTTTAAGGTTCGGCAGAAGCTCTGGTGAACCAAACTCGGAGAAAGGGGCATTAAATGTTGAAAATGTCTGTAATCAAAGTAATGGGACTTCAACTTCAGAATGCAAGTCTTCTGGAGATACTGCAAGGATAGAAGTTGGAGACAAGAAAGTGATGGGCACCCTGAAGAACCTTGGACAATCCATGATTGAGAATATTCAGGTATAGCATTTATTTGTTAATATTATTGTTCAAATGGGTTGCATTTGCTTGTTCTAATACTTTTTGACTTTTTCTTTTGCTGATTATCTGATTTTTACCAGATGAAACTTAATATTTTTGCTAACTGTATTCCAATTTTTTGTACACCTCAAGGTTGGTTGGTGTTTTGTCCAGGGATTAATCGCTTAAATTGCTATGCTGCTTTGAAATCTTTTGATTTTCGTAGAACCTTCAAATGACGAAATGAATAGCATGGACTGATTCTTTTCGAAACATTTTCAGATAGATTTTCTTTAGCTTTTGCTTTTATTTTTTATTTTTTTTGGAAAAAAGGGTAAAAGCGACTCTTACGTGGATTCATCATTCAACCCTGTTTCTTGCTCAGGAATTTTAACAGATCTTAACCATCAAAAGGTCACTGTAGTATTTAACTGTCAAAACCTTTTTTTCTGTATTATGCAGGTGATTGAGTCGGTCTTCCAGCAAGATCGAGGCCAAACTGGCAACATTCTTGGGAGCAAAGGGCAGGCCAAAGCAATGGCAGCCCTCAAGGAACTCCGAAAAATTAGTAACATATTGTCCGAGATGTGAGGTTAGCTGTGTATTTAAATTTATGTACGCATATTGTAATTACCATTCTTCTTGGCCTAGCAATAAGAAGAGAAAAAGTGCTTCTAGGCCTATTTTCCTTTATCTCTAGTCATCACTATGATGTAAATATCCTCAATTCATGAGTGAGGTCTTTCATTACTATCTTCGCATTCCTTGTAAACTCTCTGATAAGAACAAGAAGTGACAGTTTTGTAAGTTAAATGTATACTGTCATTTTAAGAATAAATTTTGGGAATGATCTTAGTATTTACTATTTAATAATATGCGTCCTTTTGCATTTAAGAAGCAATGGTACATGCAAGTTATTTAATTAACATGTTAAAATAGTTCAATCTTTGATCTCTTTTGAGTCTTGAAGTATTTTGTATAAAATTTCCTAGCTAAAGTTTATAAATTTTTTCTTCTTGTTATTCTGACTCATCAAAGTTCGTGTGAATTCCATGCTGGTTTTGATTTCTTCGAATCAAGGACAGGATAATAATTTTTTTTCCTCATAATGGTACCTCCAGTATTTCAGAGGACACTCCATTAATATTAATGGTTTTCGCTTGTGGTACAGATCAATTGCAAGCACTTAATTATGTTTAGGGTACGCAATTATCTATCAGTGTGTCTTTTGTTCCTAATCCAGTACCTTTGTCAGAGTACACAATCGGGGACCAGCTTATGCTCTCTTCTACACGTATGCTTCTAAATGACGTTGTCTTATCTTACCAATTATGGCATTATTACAGTTGTTAGGTCTGGATCTGTGCATGCCTCAGGTTACATTTGCCACAATGAGTTGCCAATTCCTTTATAAAAACACTGACAATAAATTGGGATGGGTTTGCCTGTTCTTTTGTGCAATTCTTTCTTTTTCAAATAATGTTAATTTAACCAGCAGTGGCTTGCACCCCTTGAAGCTCCTTGGATGGTGAAAAGAAAGCAGGGAAGAGATCCTGGCCTAATTTCCTTCCATTAAGATGATGCTATCTGCCAATTTGACTTGGGTTTTAATGAGCTGGTCTGAGCTTGATCCGATCCGAGGGAAAATTGTTCAAAAGATCATGTCCACTGTGATCCGAAAAGATAAGTATTCTTGGGTCATTACCCTAGTGATTTCAAAATTTACCGATCTAAGAGTTGCTATCTTTTGGATGCAATGTGTTTACTGGAAATGTGTTTACTGGATTTGTTCTACTGGATACTTTCTACGCTCTGAGACTAATGAAAAGATATTTGTCGTCGTGGGTGTGGTCTTTGTAGATTCAATAGCTTATGGCATATTGGTATTGCATCGATGCGTTCTATTTGGAACAAGAATCAAACTACAAATGAATAAGGGTCATCAGCCGAGAATTTTTTGCTGCCTGTGTCGTTGAGAATGCGATTGGATAATTTTGGCTGCTTGTGTCAATGGGAAAGCAATTATTTGGACTCTGGAACAGTAGGGCGTGTACAAAATGGATCATAAATTGTTGGCACGACGTGTTTTCTGGTTGAGGAAATTTAAATTAAGTAGAAAACTGACGAAAATGAGGAGAGAGAGAGAGTCCAAAAAAAAAAATAGCGAACTCTAGAGGAGATGATGAAATAGAGGCTGGAGATGCATGAGTTAGGTGCAGTATGAGCAGGGAACAAGATGCCACCTGCGAGAATCAACAGCAAGGGCAAATTGGTTAAATACAGAGGGGGAGAGATCGCTTTCAAATAGCCTCAAAATCGACGGGCTAGTATCAAACTATTAAGATTTGAAATTCTAGATCAATTCAGTATTTGTATCTAAAAGTTTACTCTTTCTGCAGTAGGAGGATAAATCGAATCACCAAAAGACTGAATGATTGAAAACTAGGAGGAAAAAACAACCAAAACTACGAACATGTTTAATCGTGTCAAAGAAAGCATAAAAAGAATGAACGAACAGTAAGCTTGACATAATCTTTTATAGGGATCTGTATTCAATATATATTAACGTCAAACTGGGTTCTCTTTATAAAATGAGGGTAAAAGGTTAACTGAAGTAAAGACGAGGCATCTCATATAGGCAAAATTAGGCTTTATAACAAAAACTTCCATAACACGAGACGTCATTATTTTGAATCTAATTCGATCTGATCCTCCCACCAAAATCATCTAATGAAAACATTTAGAAAACGGACTCACTTCACTGTCATCTCCGGATAATATCAAGCCATAGACGTTCATTGTGTAAACGCTTATATCAAGCAAAAACATCAACCGATGTTGAATGTTTTCACCTAATGCAACTCCACGTGCATGCCAATCGAAGACATCGCCTAGAGGCTCTAAGAATTTTATCCAAACTTCCAGCTCATCTAGATGGTTTATTTTTCATTCTCACATCATACATTATGCGTGTTTAAACATACATGCTGACATTGACAAAGCAAGGATTAAATGTATTATTACAAAAAAGAGGAACTGATGGATAAGGCCGAAGGCAATATATATATTAGGATGAGCGTCAAGATGTCCAACCAAGACCTCAGTAGATCCCAGGAAGGATTCTGTAAGGCACCTTATCGCAATACATCTTCCAGTACTTTTTGTACCTGAAATTGCTCACCAAACAAAAGAAATGATGTTGCTTGACATTAGTACATCGAATAAATGGAGCACACTATCCTTATGTGGCAACAGCATAGCTATGCAAGATTTTTCGAATATTGATAAAGCATAACATAAGTATATCTTAGAAAATGCTGGTTAAGCTAGTGGAAAGTTTATGGATGTACTTGAGAAGATTGCAAGAAATCATGTTAGCCCTGAATCTAATATAGAAAATCTTAAGATCATAAGGGAGCACTACATGTCTAAGTAAATTCTAATTTGATGTATTATTTTCTTATGAGTAAATTCTAATTTGACATATTATTTTCTTATGGGGAATCTCACTTGGTTTGAGATTGTCTAGTGAGGTATGAGCGTGTGGGCAGAGCTGTCTGGCTAGTTGTAGGTGAAATGTAAGGGGGATGAAGTCAAAATTGAGACCGTTAACCCAAAATATCACTTGTATGTTTATGCTGAAAACAGCAACAATCCTAACGGATAGAAGAACTAATTGAATAACCAAAATAAAACATAGTGATACCATAACAACAATAGCTCATGTGTTCACGACATGCATGCTAATGATGACAACTTTCAGATCACTTAAACTGTGTATCCACATATAATTGAATTTTCGACAGGTCAAATTTTATAGAAATGGGTTCAGCAAACTTACTTCGATGAACAACGATCATCATCCCTCTTGGCTCGGTCAACCAGGAGAATGGTCAGAAACATAACATAGAAATAGGGAATGAACTGAAAGAGATCAAGCAAAGAAACAAAATCAGAAATGTCCTGCAGAATGAGGATTAATCTTGAATACCCCATGTATCAGAATGGAACATGCTTACATGGTTAAAAAGGGCTGGTACACTCCAACAAAATGCAGCTGCAATCTCTGGTGCATAGTGGAAGTGACGAGCCAAACCCCACCTATCAAAACCAATCATTAGAGTTCAGGCTGGAACACACGGGGGGAAAAACACACTTCCCATGTAACATAATTCCACACTTGGCAGGGCATAATTTGATCCAAGAGGTATTCAGATGGAACTGGAATTCAACTACAGAGTCTTGTGTTTTGATACTAGAATTTAGAATCTTATTCTAATATGTTGAAAAGAAAAAAAGTTCTCTTAGAGCTCACCATCCAGAAGTCAAAAGAAGGCTGGTTTTTGTTTCCCCTTTTGTGGTAGTATAGGATGCCACTATCTGTAACAATTAACAAAAAGCAAATCAGGAAAAGAAAAGAAAGATAGCAAAGAAATTCAAAATAAAAAATACTGAAAGATACATGAATGAAAGATGCACAAAATTTTAAAAAATGTTGAAAACTGCTATATCATGAAAAAGTTTTTGGACCTTTGATGGAGCTTTTCCCCAGATGAGACATTTCCCATTTGTTCTACGAAATTCTTGTCTTTGTCTGTCACAATCATAGTTTATATATATGCACAGAAGACCCGCTACAAGTATGGAGAGAGCAAGCTGCAGTACAATAAATATAAAGAGCATGAACTCCTAAACATACACGAGTCTGGAAGAGTGATTAAACAAATAATCATTTACTCATGTTCATCCACTAAGGAGACATTTTCTTCCACATAAGTTTCAAATGGATATATGTTTACCTCATTACCCAGATGTACAGGATGGTTGACAAGATACATCCCAGGAGAAGTATAGACTGATGGGACCCACACTAAACAACCCCAGCAAATATAGAATCCAGCTGATGAATACCAAATGGAAACAAAATTATCAGGATTAGACAATTCATGGCAAACAAGGAATAGAAACATGTGTGATTAGAATAGTTTGACGATGGAAAGAGTACAAACCACAAAGTCATAACTAGATTTGTAGATCATATATGTTATTGGACACTTCTATTCTCCGACTATCTGAAGTGGATTTTGATGTTAATCACATTTTTTTGAAGTAAGATTAGAAATGGTAAGAGATTGAGCTATTAAGTTTAGAGGTGTTATGTATCACACTAGTAATTATGGCTTTGTTAACTGATGTACGACAGTCATCGCTGTCGATTTTATGCCATTGGGATCTTCTCGGAGATGAATCATGTTGGCAGATACTACATATTATATACAATCCATCTTTCCCCTTATTTCCTTTGGTGTTTCAAATATGCTTACCTAGTAATAACTAATTTAGGGAGGAATATAGTTAAATCCTTCAGGCATCTTGAGTTTTTCTCCATACAATTGACCTCAGTTGTATACGGATATTAATACCTCATATACAATCATAAGATTCATAGCATACTTTACTTTACAACAACATACTCAAAGAGACAGGAACCGTAAGATATTATTAAGAAAATGGAGAATCTATGTTGGCATATAGAGAAAATTCATCTCCTCAACTTGATGGAAGTAAACCCCCAAAGAGAAGCTAGAAAGATTTGAAATATATACAAAGAACTAGAGACTTGGTTTCTTAAGTTGGTTTAGAGTAATAATGCTGCAAATATTTAAAACTTCGGAATTAACATGACCACATTTTTATCAGACGTTAGGGAAGACTTTTCTTTAATGTTCAATCCCAAATATGGCACAACACACATTTAAACAGACCACCCAGAGATGTGTGCTTACCTCTATCATGAGCAATATCCATAGTGCACCAGTATCCAGCTTCCCACCAAAAGAACTTAGTGATATATACCAGCATCAGTACAGTATTTACAAGCATAGAATCAGCCACTCTCCCGTTCATTTCATACTGCGATGACAAATAACTTTATTAAAAGTCATACCATGTAATTATCGTATTTTAGATAACACCCATTTTTTTGTAATATCATCATAGGAAAACATAAATCCTATTTGGTCTATTTCGCAAACAGTTATACATAGAGATTAGTATGCAACATATGAGCATAATCTGCCAAATTGACGCTCTATATGCTGTGCATTAAATTCACTGTCGTCTACAGCACCAGTCAGTAGCATACCTTCATAATTTGGTAACTGCGGAATTACTTGATGTCAGTTGAGGAATTTGCTTTCTCATTCTTTACGGCCATACATATACATTTAAAGGTAATTGAAAGAATAAATGTATTAAGCACCAAGAATGTAGCAGCATTAAATAAAAGATACAAAGTCTATGAATAATCTGAAGATAGATAGCAATAAATTTCTTCGCATATGTCAAATAACACATAATGAAGAGTTTTAAGATATGATTTTTTAACGATAAGAGTGATATTAAGGATGATCTACATCAAAACATTAAGAAAGATGTGAATTAATCCAACCACATGTCTCTTAATCAAATTATATGACCAGTCTCTCCAAAGGAAACATTTTAACAACTTCAGTGGCGATTTACTGATCTTATACAACTTTGACATCTTTCTAAGTGAAACCATGAAAGATAGACATGATACAAGTCAATTTCAACTGCAAACCTCTAGAGATTTTGCATTATAATAAGGGTTTTTACATCAAAACGACCATTACTTTTACCTAAATTGATACTTACCACATTCAAAGTTTTTTTTAATGTAAACCACTTTTACTTGCTAACATGTTTGCAATGTCACACCTTTTTTAATGTTCACCCACGAAAAATCAGATATTTCCATTTTACCCCATCTTCTTCCTTCCAATCCCTAACCTCCTCCATCCTCCTATTTTATAAACCCTAATCCTAATCCTAACCCATGGCCGTCACCTTCCCCAAAACTCTAACCCTAACCCATGGCCGCCACCTCCGCCAAACCCTAACCCTAATCCTAGTTTCAAGTTGGAAGGAATGGGAGAGTGGGAGGAAGAGGGAGGATTAGAGAGAGGGGGAGGGGAGCTGGGGAAGGAGGGACAGGGAAGACGAGGAGAAGAGGAGGATGTTGTGAGGAAGGAGATGGAAAAACAAGAAAATGGTGAGGGCAAAATAGTCATTTCACGTATTTTTTGGTTGAAAACCGGCTTGGGTGTGACATTGCAAACATGTTAGAAAGTAAAGGTGGTGTACATAAAAAAAACTTTAAAGGTGATAAGTATCAATTTGGATTAAAGCAAATGTAGTTTTGATGTAAAAACCCTTATAATAATAAAGATGTTTGACAGATACAACACATTGTTCATTTTATTTTATTTTATTTTTCGTTTTTAAGAGTTGAAGTTTAAATTGAAAACAGAGAAAACAAGATCAATACTTACCTGTTTGATGCAATACGTCACAGCAAGAACAGCCCAGGACATCATCCCGAACCGACAGTTTGTGAGAACCTTAATATCAAAGTTTTTGCCAATGCGAGGATACAACTCCATTCCCTGTGCACAGGGAAAAAGGTAAACTAAGTATAAGATTCAACAGACAGTTGTAGGATCGACACTTTATCATGTAAATTAACATTTGGAATTATATTTTAAACATGACGTTTAGAATAATTGTATATGCGAAGCGCCAATATTTTTGACACATTATGTTTGACAGTTGAATTTGTATCTCATTAGAATCAATGGGACCTAGAACTATCTTCAATTACCTCGCTCATAAAATTTTGATAAAAAAAGATATAGAATAGAAGAAATGATGCCAAATTCCCAGAGACTATGTAATTTTTTATTTTAAATCTTAAAAAATACCATTGCCAACTATAGCTCATGCTTTCTTTTAGTGAACTCATGCTAATGTTATTAGTAATAATATGGTTTACCAACGATATTGATAGTTAATAATATGGTTACAAACTATCAATTAATGCCGGATTGTGTTACCAACTTACCATAAAATGGTCAGTCAGCCAGAATATTCTAATAATTTTCAACTTTAGGGATTCTGTTCATTTTAACCTAACAACTCTCCAAGCTACTTCACGCAGTATCCATTAAATTGGCCTTGAACATCAAATCATACATTTTTGAAGATCAAATTCTACCAGAAGTCATGCCATGTTCTAACTGCTAGTTGCTAATCTATAAGATTATCTCTGGGATGGTAGAATAGAATTAATTCCACCCCAGACTAAAAAATATGCGATAAATCATTATAAAATAAGGAAAATAAAAAGAAAGCAACAAATGATTCTACCATAATGGTGAACTTATCAACACAAATGCTGACTGAAATTTGAAAATACATGTCAAACTCACCCAGTAGAAATCAATTATCAGGTTGCCAGATGATCCAGAATCAGTAGAAGATGGTGCCATGTGACCCTTTAAAAAAGACAAATTTTAAGAGTGAAATACATACCGATAACTAAAGACAAAGTTTAAAAAGTATGCTCACTTTTAAGTACAAGAAGACACAGAAGAATAGGCTCCCAACTGTAAGTGCAGCCAGAATTTCTCCCAGATGGTCATACACAATTGCTGGATCAAATATTCCAAACCTGTATAACCAAAAATTTAAGAAAACATCTACTAATGGGTAGGATAACAAATTATTCTAATTGAAATATGTTGCCCACAACGTTGAGCACATATGTTTGACAGTCAAATACCAGAAACAAAAAGTGACTGGGAACTTGACAATTCCTTCAGCATACTCCAGTTAGAATGGAGAACAGTGGAAAGCTCTCAAGTCTCAGCAACTATTAGAAATAATTTATAGTGTACTAGCCCTACCTTTAGTCCCACATAGGTGGGAGTATGAGAGATTTGAGGCTTTATGAAGTAAAGCCTAGGAGAGCAAAAAGTGCTGCACTTTTTGGCAGTGGATTTAGCCAAACCACGAGTTGCTCTCAGTGGGTCCCACAACTTACACCGTGCCGACGGGCTTGCGGACCCGGGGCGTGACATACAGTGACACAATGTTGCAAAAATGCAGCATAATTTGTGAAGTGGAAATAAACACTAGCATGAGTGAAAATAAAATTAGTAACCATCAAAGTATACGTGCAACTGGTCATTAAGAACAGAGAAGTGGATGCAAGACATAGGTCACTCAATTCATCATTCGAAAGAATTTTGCTGCCTAAGCTATTACGTAAAGGTTACAGTTCATTATTCAGAAAAAAGTTATAGAAATGACTGGAAAACACAAAGTTCAGATCAGTGTTCCTGAGGCGTAACTGATGCGGCAAAGAGCTTTTCATGGTGGGGAAAGGGGGACCTATGTTCAAGTCCAGGTCATAATCCTTTTCCAATAAACTAGTGTGCACCCCGTGCAAAGCACGACCTCCTATTTTTTTAAGCACTGCATTTTGAACTTGTCTCCCTCTAAGTTTTGATACATTTGATTTAATCATTATATGCTTAAAATTAGAAATCATATCTACTCCTCTATGCTTAAAGAAGAATCCAAATTTTAATACATTTGATTTAGAAATCAAATCTACTCCTCTATACTTAAAGAAGGATTCAAGTTTTAATACATTTGATTTGCTTTAAAGTTTATGATACAATAAAATACTGTAGCATGAAAAGTAACTTCAAATACGAAGGAGTATATTTGATTTACTGTTTATGCTACAGTAAATTACATAACCAGTAACTTCGAGTGCAGAGGGCAAATTTTTACTGTTTATGCCGTAGTATCCATTGTAGCATTTACTGTAGTGTGAACAGTAACTCTTTGGATTCTCCTATAGAGGAGTAGATAAGAGCACTGTTTCCACCTTGCACGAAGTGATTGCTCACGACATGTAGTTAAAATGATAATTATCAAATACCAATGCAGATTTGAAAATAAATATCTTTAATACTTTCTGATTTTAGTGATAACTGTGTCATTCTCCCTTCACCAGATATTTGCACAAGGGCCCACTCGAAGAGAGACAGTTGCCCAGCAACATATAAATGATCACCAAGCACCAGGAGTGATTTTATGTCTCACATCTGGTATCTATAAAATTTACATTGCAGACCCGATTCTAAATAGGATAATGTAGTGAAACAAACATTAACCCTGCAGCTACCCTAAAGCCATTAATCTAGCTGAATATGTAAAATGACTAAAATCATCTTTCTTCATAAACAAATTTACGATCTTTTAAAAAAATGCATAAGAAATAAATGAAAAAGCGCAAGCTCAGAATGATAAGCAAGAGATCAAATGAAACAATCTATCGTTGAGAAGTAGAAATGTCAACAATTAAGCATATTGGGACATGTCTTACCACCAAAGGCTGATATAAGTTATTAGTGTTACTGCATACGCTTGCAACCCATTTGCCTGCAAAAATAGTATAGTAATGATGACATAGGTTTGCATCTTGAGTTTGCCAAAATAAGTTCCCAAGAAAAAGAAATTAGATGAACATGCAATATGTGTTCTGAGCTTTGGATAATTGCATCGTGATGCATCTTGCTTAGAGTGACATAAGCAAGAATAGATAGTTGTGACAGCATGATATGGACTCTCAACTGGTTACTTATTGCAAGCAGAGGTTATATTAATGGTCACAGGGCGTGGAAACAGTTTGAGCAAGGAGGTTTTGCCAACTATGATTTACCAAAACTTTTATATCATGGTATGTCACAAAGAAAAGAAAAGAAAAGAAAGGAGAAAAAAATAAGCAAGACGGTGTATAAGAAATGACACTTCTAATGTTTCATTTCAACTAGATTTTGGCAGTGCTAAAATAGCACGGAATAAATATAGCATCATTCTTTGACACTCTAGAAATAATTTTGAGTCAACCCCATTGCAAACCTTATAAACGGGTATTTGTCCTGTAGGAGAGATTGGACCTTCAACTCTTTTTCCCGGTAATGCAAGTTGAAGAAAAGCTTCAAATGCACCAAAAGCAGCAATCAGTTTCCAAGCTGTGGGAGATGGAGTTGGCCAGATATCAACGAAACCTTGCAGTCCATGTTGCTTAAGATATCCCAAAGTTTGTAATATAGAACCATCGGCATGAACCATAGTGTACCATCTGCAATCCAGTACAACATCAAAAACAGATCTACACAACTGAAGCAACTGAACGATGACCCCAGAAAAAAAGAGAACGTAGAATGCAAAGTCAAGATTTAGCTTCAGAATTTATACTGCAGATCTGGGTGACATTTAACCAGACTACATTTCCACAAGGAAAAACAAAGGGCAGCAAAATGTCCTTAAGAAATAAGCTTCAGTGCATTCAGTCTTTAAGTTTTTTTTTTAAAAAAACATTGAGTCACATCCTGCAGAGATAAACAACAGAACTTCACAATATTTGGAGATCAGCTAAGTTTCATTCAGCATAGCACTTTCTTATTTTCACCTTTTCCGCTACTCTTGCTGAAGATTTGTTAACACTGTTTATCAATCATATAAAAGAAGCACAAACAAGAACATGCCTAAGCTTCAATTTATTAAGCAAAGCAGGGGGGGGGGGGGGGGGGGGGGAGCCTATTACGCTAATAAAAAGAATGTTAAGTTCCGAAATTTCAAGCTAAAAATGAGCTAACACCTCTTTTCAAGCTTACGTTGATTATTCTCTGAATCGTAATAACTCAGTTAACACCCATTACCAAACTTACGTTTTTCCCTACAAATTTGCAGAAACCCATCATTGCATGTACAACAATGTAAACACCAGGAAAGGGAGGGGGAAAAAAAGAACACTCTGAGAACCAGCAAAAACAAGATAGCACTTTGCCCATTCTAAAGAGTCACGCGCGTAAAATAAAGGAGATCGACGATTAGCTAGATCAAAAAAAAAATTAAGTGAAAGTATCTTTAAAACACCTCAGTCTCAGGTAAAATAATCTCATTAAAATACCATTATTTTCCAAAACTATCCAAATCACAGAATCCCATAAACCTAAGTCAAAATTATATTGAAAAAAATAATCTCCAACTTCGTGTACTTATTAAATTAGTTCCCATTTCAAACGGTAGACAACAGATCCATCCTCGCGAGAACTACTGCGCTTCAATAGAGGAATCCACGAATCTAGGTCAAAAAAAAATCAGGAAAAATTGGGGGGTTGATGGGGAGGGTTCTAAGAGGAGTGAAAAACTTACAATAGAATTACAAATGGAGGGCATAGAGTAAGGAGCGAGATCATAGAAGTGTAAGTGAGGACGGCTGAATGCACGGTTTTTGATGCTTCACCCATTTTCGATCTCTCTCTCTCTCTCTCAGAGATCGCCCTGTTTTCTCCCCCTTCAATAGAGACGGCAGAGGAGGGTTCAGCACTCACGAGCAGGTTTAATGAGGCGGAGGAGAACCTCTCTTCACGTGTACTGCACGTGTAATTTTTTTTTCCCCTTCCATTTTGATGTGCTTAAATTTACATAATTACTTTTATAGTTGAAGGAAGAGAGAAAGAGATGAATTTAGCAGAAACGACATAAATCACTATTAAAAAAAATATTAGAGGTTAATATTTTTTTTACTTACTTATGTAAATAGATATGGCCATATGGGATTTTCTCTGTCAAGGTAAAAAAATTGTGAAGAAGAAAACATATCGATCAGTTACGATAACCTTTTGCTAGCTTTACTCGTGCTAACAACATAATATATATATTTTTACCTTTATTTGTTAATAGAGGAGTTAAATATAATACATATAAACATAAAATTGACATATCTTAATTGGTATTATGGTGAGGTGTTATACGCAAAAAATGTTTGTTTTAGGATATTTTACTCTGCCTCTCGTTTTCACGTGGAAGAAAAGTCAATGAACCGTAGATGTGGGGCCCTTTTGATCACACCCTTCCACACGCTAGTTTAAAATTCTACTTCAATTTTCTTTTTCTTTTTCTTTTTTCACTTTTGTTTTTCTTTGATTGATTTTTTGCGCATTTATGATGGTGACCATTCGTGCTTCGGTGAGTATTATTTTTACAGATAGGAATTATCAATTATGTGTTGCCACGAGGAGTTTTTTCCCATTTCTCACATGGTTTCAAAATTTTCAGTCTTCCTGTAGTTATTTTACGATCTCAACATCGTCATAATATTCTTTAGTTCGTTTAAAATTTGCGTCTATGGATGATCATGTAAATTAAAATATGTTTTTATTTGTTAACTAAATTGAATGATAACTAACAAATGCTAACCATCTATCTAATATAAGGTCTTTTAAAATATTGAAATCGAAAAAAACATATTGTTAATGTTAGAAAAATGCTTTTTTCTTTTTTGTAAATACAGAATTTTACTAAAATTCATTTTGGTGCTTGAGGACAGCGCGGTCTCTCAACGTTACTATCCGATCTAATCCATGATAGACATCTCCCGCTTTTTTCCGGTATAGATATAGATATAGATTTAAGTATCACTCACCCATTCGATTGGCCCCGCAGATTAACCGTTATTTCTTAGTAGATTGGGGTCCGTACACAGCAATAAATCCTCTCGAGGCAAAGCGTTTTCATTTTTAAAATGAGCACGCGGCCCTCGCAAGCAGGTTGTGCTCGTCCTTCGTTAGTAGTAGAACAAAATCCACATGAACTCGAGGGCATTAAAATATCACGCACGAGCGTCGAAATACAAATGGAGACACAAAACTAATTAAAAAAAAAGAACGTACAGCTGGGATTTATTTGATTCTGAACTATTTGAATTATCTTTTTAACCCGAAAATTTTCTATTAAAAACTCTGTAAGACTTTTCCATCACCAACGCAATGATGTTATTAAAATTCAAGACCGTTCTTTCGGTGACAGTAACGTCTCGATTACACAGCACATAATCAAAAGCTGATCTAGAGTCAAATATCTTCAATCGTAGCCTTTAGATTTTGCGTCCATAATCAGAAGTATCAGCTAATAAAACCCAACCGAAATGCTATCTCAGCTCTGGCAAAGCTGATATCTCAACCTTGAGAATCCCGGGTTAAACATCCGACGCTTTTAAAACTCGAACACAACAAATCAGTATTACCACTTAATCCCGGGTTCAATCAACCTAGCATCCTATACATCTTTGGGAGCTAAACCTGAGAAACTTTAAGGAGAGGTTCAATTCAAATTTACCAAAATTCTGCATATTTTTCCAACCACAGTGGTGAAGCCATCTTCATTTATGCATGTACAGATCCAGCTACCAGCAGCCAGTCCCACCGTAATATAGCATGTTACTCGTTAAAAGCTCAAACACATATAAGCTTGTATACTCTTCTGATGAACAAATACATCCCCTACTTTTGCTTGTCATGTAGGTTCTCTACATAGTTTACATAATATATTACTGCTGTACATTCAAAGCCGGATCGCGTTCAAAGGCCATTAGAAAGATCAAAGTGGATAACTGTTGTGAGATGCAGAAGCTTAGTTCCATATGGAAACCAAAGCCTTAGCTCTGACTGCTCCATCTTTGCCATATTAAGGGCTCAATCTTCGTCATCAGATTCTCCTGCAGGCTTCTTTGATGTTCTCTTTTCCGGATTTCCTGTAGCCGACAAAAGTGAGATTCGATAGTAAACATAGACTTACTAAATGATAGCACATCGTAAACTTAGTAGACGATAATGCAGATATTGCGATATCTATTATATGAAATTGATTACAGATCAGAAGAAGCCCCCTTAATAAACTCTAGCAACAGAATTCACCCTTACTCCCAGATTTCTTGACCAACTGTCAACAGTCAACAGACTTATCACAAATGTTGAGTGAGTCAGAGAAAACCAGAATAGAAGCAAAATCCAGAGCCTTTCCTGTAATTTGCATCAATCTTCTATCAGCTTTGCCACCCTCGATCATGCCAAAATGCAAGGGAATATATATATTCGCAAAGCTGCCTGGTGTGGTGGCATAGTAGTAAAACCAATCATATGATATGATGAATGATTTAATGTGCCGGCTTCATAAATCCTCCTTCATTGTCTTCATACATGACATGCTCTAGCAGTTTATAGCTCTCTCTTAGTCTCTTCAGCTAGTGCTCTACTTCACTCATCAAAGTCCAAGATCTCTTAAAATAAGTAGTTTCGACATAATTGCAAGCCAACACAATCAATTAGTAAGAATATTTCATTCTCTATAGTCTCTACAACATGTAAATCGTCTCTTGCATCTAATAACATTTTCCTTGGGACTCTCAACTGCAAGATGCTCGCCGGTCAATAACTCACAACTTTCTACCCTAAGGCAATTTTGCAGCTTATGTAAATAACAAATCATTCTTGAAGATTGAAAGCACAAGTCGTCTAGTGAGCTCTATACTAAGAATCATTTCCATAGCTAAATCAACAACCTCCGTAAAAATCGATCAGCCTTGATCCCTAATAACAACATTTTCCTAGAAATTCTCAGCTGCAAGATGCTTGTCAGTTACTAATGCACAATTTCTAGTTGGCAAAGCAAAGCACTAATGCAGCACAACTAAAAAGACAACAATTCTCATTGGGAGCTGAAAGCACCAAGGTTCTAAAACACAGTCTAAATTTATTTACGGTCCATTAGCGGGTAGCGATTAATCGGATCATGCGGTGATTAATCAAATTATGTAAATTATGCAATTTTGAAAATTTTAATATATACTATTTAACTTATATAAATATAATAATTCATGAAAACTATAAAACATTCCAAGCAAAATACTGACAATAATGCCCTAAACTATTCAAATCAAAATCATTATACAATTAAAAGTAAAAACTCCTAAAATTTCATGAACTAAAAACACTCCCATAATTAATAACACTTTAAAATACTCATACAACTCCAGACTCCTATCTAGTCTTCCTTATCATCCTCATAACGATCAACAGCAGAAACAACATCAGGAGACAATGACGGTTGTCATCAATACTCAGCGGCAGGTGGAGGTGGTGATCAGCTACAACTAGTGGCGGCGGAAAGAAGGCTGCGTGGGCATACTTAGGTTTAGGGTTTTGAAGTAGTGTATATTTTTGGGGATCTTTTGAGGTACTGATTAGGAGAATTTAGGATAATTAAGTGAAGGTTGGGTTGTCACGCCCTAACCCGCGAGCCCGTTGGCGCAATGTAAGCCCTAAGACCCATTGTGTAGCACATTGCTTGGCTCAAATCACCGCCAAAATCAACTAGCTGATGTTTAGATCCTTATGCTTACTACATGAAGTACACAAAAAACTTTACCCATCCGTCGATGTGGGACTAATTTGAGTGGGTTGTCACAATCACCCTTCCTTACGTATGCGATGTTCTCATCACAAAGTGAGGATTGGTCACTCCCAATATCACCACCAGACGATGTGGACTCTGGAGGTGGCTATTATGGGTTCTAGAGGTGGCTCACACTGCACTCACGTTGTGCAAGGTTTTAAATATCGGTTATTAGCGTTTTATCGAAGGGTCAAAATCCATATCGGATAGCAGATATCGAGGATATATCGGGGATAAGTAATATTTATCGGAGTGATATTACCGGATGGTGATATACATAATATAATATTCTAAAATATAATCTAACCCTGCTTAATGAAAAATAAACATACCAAAATGTAAATAATTATGTTTAGGATCACTAACCAATGGTGGAAACTCGGGTCGGGTTGGGTTTAAAGTGCACTGAATAGGTGCACGTTGTCCGAAATCAAAACTCAAACCAAAGGCCGATAATTTCGATTTTGAGCCGACAATATCTGCTGATAACTCACTTTATCGCCGCATTATCGGCGATAAACATTCAAAAATGATAACCGGTTTAGAATTAAACTTATCATAGCGGAAGACCCCAAAACCGATAAATTACCGATAATAACAGTTTATCGGCCAATATTTAATATATTGACGTTGTGTAGCACTTAGTCCCGTATAGCATTTAGCTCACACTTCTGACTGGCTAACTGCTCTGTACCATTTATCATGCCTCCAACCTGCGAGCCCTTTGACGCGATGTAAGCTAAGGGACCCACTAAGTGCGCGTTATTTGGTTCAAACCACCGACAAAATCAACATGCCTATGTTACACCTTGATCCTTATACCTACTATATATAGTACACAAATCTTTATCCACCACCGATTTGGGACTAAAGTGAGTAGGTTGTCACATAAATCATGCATATTATGCAGCCGTATAATTTCATTATGGGAGCATATACTCTTTAACCACTCGATTATGCGGTATTACAGCATAATCGAGCGGATGTCAACTACCCAACACGTTCGGTGTCGAGTATGTGGAACATTTCATCGAGTGCTTAGCCTGGTAGAGTGTGTTTTTGAACACCAGAAAACACAATACCTTTTC